TTCATCCTCCATGACTTGAACTCACTGACATATGGTAAGCTCAAAACAAAGAACAATAATGATAATAATAACTAGCACTTGTACAACATTTTAAGGTTTGCCATGTCCTGTACATGGGTCATCTCATTATTTCCTCACAATTTCCCTGGGAGGGAGGTGCTATTATTATTCCCATTTTATAGTTGAGGAAATTGAGGTTGAGAGGTGAAGTGATTTGGCCAGGGTCACATAGCTAGCAAATATCTAAATCAGAATTCAAACACAGGTCTTCCTGACTCCAAGTCCAAGCCCTCTCTCCATAATACCACCTCACTGACTCAGAAATAAGGTAGACAGAATTTGACAGTGGATACCTAGCACTAAGTTCCAGTTGGAGAAATCTCAGCCTATACACATCCCTTGACAAGGAGTCAGTTGCTTCCCCACAGGCAGACGCAGAGATGAGAGACAGAAGGTCGTTGACTCTCTGAGAACCACAAAGTGACCAACACTTCTGCCTCACAGTGCATGTGTACGTTCTAAGAGGGGGCTTGGCATTGCCTAATGAGTATGATCAATGCTACCTGGTGGCTAAATTTGTAAATGGTTTCCCTGCCAGCATCCACTGTTACCAAGGCAGAGATTTCAAAAGCAAACCACTGAAGAACAAAATCCAAGGAGTCAAGAACTGAGTCTTACCAGAAGGTGGCTGGATGGCTCAGGAAGACCTGAGTTCAAACCTGCTTCAGGCACCTACTTAGCTATGTGACCCAAGTCTCTTAATCTGCTCTTTCCTCAGTTTCCTCATCTGTAAAATGGGAATAACAATAGTACCAAGGTTGTTATGAGGATCAAATAAGATAACATGAAAAGTGATTTGCAAACCTTAAAATACCAGGTAAATGTTAGCTATTATTATTATTATCAGTACCTTCAAAGAAACCTATAAGCTGGAGACATTCAACTCACCATAAGTGAAAGGCTTAACAAGTGATGTTTCAGGGCAGCTAAGTGGTGTAGTGGATACAGCACTGGCCCTGGAGTCAGGAGGACCTGAGTTCAAATCCAGCCTCAGACACATAACACTCACCAGCTGTGTGACTCTGGGCAAGTCACTTAACCCTAATTGCCGCACCCCCCAAAAAAGTGACATTCTAGTATGGTTATACAATGCTACCAGAGGTCACACAAAGAGTTTTCCACTATCTCTGTTAATTTTCAGATAAAACCAGGCCTGCTCATTGAGTTCTACTTCGGCATCTCAGAAGGTGGAAATAGCGAAAAAGCATTTGTTAAGCTCCTACTATGAGATGCCAGAAATTGTGGAGACTGTGCAGAAAGTCTCCAATCTGGGCTGAGAGCAAAAGCCACAAAGACCAAGGAGGCGAGTTGTTGCAGCCAGCCCAGCTTTATTATCCTGAGGAGCAAAGATCCAGGACTCTCGCCCAATAGAAGATGACCACAATGTTGGCTTTGGACTTGGACTTGGGACCAATGCTATCGAGGAACTACGCTAAATTTTGAGTTGAATCTCCCCATCTCTAGAGACTCAAGGTGGTGTAGGGGGAAAGGATGCCATTGAGATGTTGGGGAAAATGTTCGTGTGTTTATTCTTGTGGTATCTGTGAAATAAATATCCCTTTGCAAAAGTCAATGGCTATTAAATGGTTATATAAAACTAAGGTTCCAGTCACTGGACTTTCCAAAATGGGTAGAACAAATCCAGTAGGGCTCATACTGATGGCAAAGACCCCAACCCCCTCAAGTAATGAGAATCCTGAGGAGAAGATGTAGCAAACCTGATCCAGAGGAGGTGGGGCCAGAGCAAACCATAGGACGTTATTGTGGTTTAGGATTCTTTGCTCCTTATGGTACAATGATATCTTATGGATATATTATTCTATATATGCATGTCATACGTTTCCACATATTTATTTGGTCGGTGTAAACAAAGATTAGTCTAATGCTTTGTGTTATGTTGGGTGCACACCAATGTTGGCTGCATGTGATCTTACTATGGATGTTATATGTGTGTGCACTTGTGTACATACCATGCACATGCTACTTTGCAGCTGGGTTGGGTCCTTGTGACTACAAGTTAAGCTGTGATGTTCATGATACATGTTCAGAGATATTCATGTATAACCTGTGTATTTGCAAGGGACCAAAAATGTTTCACAGGGAGGAGATGGAAAAAGTTCTCAGTTTTGTAATCTGAGTATTATTGCAAACTCCTCACTCTACCTCAACCCACGTTTCCAATCAGTTACCCTGTCTCATTTCTACCTTCACAACGTCTCTGATATGCAAGGCCTTCTCTCTACTCTTGTTGTTTCCATCTTAGCTTGGACCTTCATCGCTTCTCACCTAGCTTATTGCAACAGCCTCCTAATTAGTCTCCCTGCTTCTCCTCATTCTAATCCATTCAACAAACCAAAGTAACTTTTCTTAAGAGGAAATCTTGGGGGCAGCTAGGTGGTGCAGTGGATAGAGCACTGGCCCTGGATTCAGGAGGACCTGAGTTCAAATCTGACCTCAGACACATAACACTAACTAGCTGTGTGATCCTGGGCAAGTCACTGAACCCCATTGCTAGCCCAAACAAAAACAAAAGAACTTATTTTTTGATTTGCTGAGTGGTGGGGTTTATTGACTGACTCACTGGTGAGCGGAGATGATAAATGAGGAGAGAAATGCCACTACAGATGAAGGATGCCATGCTAATGGTCAAGACCAGAAGGTAAATAATGGTGGCAGCAACATTCTCTTTTCAGGAATGGTGGGCTAAACCCACTCAGCCTACTCAGTGATGGGCTAGCAGAAGGCAGAGGATGTCAAAGGTCTTTGCCAGTGACAGAACAGCTAGAATTAAATCCCATGACCAGGCTGAGCCAGAGGAGCCCGTTCCTCATACTGGCATACCTAGATTCTGAGGTCCTCTAGAGTTTCAGCCTTGGCACCTGATCATGGGTCCATTGGGACTGCAAGCTGAATAGGCTGTAGGAACCATGTTGCTATCATGTTCCTTTGCTAGCTTGGGAGCAGATTCAAACTACCTTTTCTAAGGATTCCTGGGTCCTTATAAGTCTGGCAGACTCTCCCTAGGCTAAGAAAATGGGCAAGCTCACAATGTTTGGCTATTATGCTTTATTTCCTTGATAGCAAATGCTGCTTATTAACTTATGAGCCTCATGCTGAATTTTTTAAAAACTATACTTAGAATTGAAGCTTGCCTACTGTAAAAAAACAAAAAACTGAGAAGCCATTCTGGGCAAAGAAACCAACCTTTTTTTAAAGAGAAACAAAGGTGGGCTCTACAGTCAGCCCAGTACAGTCTGAGACTCCAAGATACAAAATTCACTGTTATTTACAGATCTCTTGATTTATTATGGTGCAACAGAGTCTTCTAAAAACTGATTTATGTATGGCACAAGATTACATTTTGCAAGTTTTTATGTTTTAACTTTATGACATCCTATATTTATTCTTCCCTTGATGTCCCTTTACAGGGGTTTCTTACTTCATCATTTTAATATAAAGATAGATTAATATATAGTGTGATTATTATGGTCACATACTTGATACACACTTTATAATGATTTAGTTATACCTCCAAGGTTAACTAACACAGGTGTTCACTGGGGACTACATCTTGGCTTCAGTTATGCACAGATTTTTATCTGGGACTCCATTTCTTATGTTATCAAAATGATTGTAGCTGATAAATGATTAGCAAAGCAAAGTAAAGCACTGAAGGCGTGGATTATTGATCTTTGCTGTTACACTATCTGCTTCCGTTCAAAGTAGATGCCAATATACCAAGGTCATATCATTGGCAATTGCTTCTAGAAAGACAATGTGGTTTCCCAGTGCCTGGGTGGGGGCTCAGAGCTAAGTTCATATCTGCGTACTCTGACAGCCTATGCTGTTTCCATGGAGAGGAATGAATATGAGGTGTAGATAACTGAAGACTCCCCAAGGACTATAGGCAGCTCAGCACTAACTCAGCGCTTCTTTGTAGTAGGGCATGAGTAGACCTCCAAGGTGAGTATGCACCTCTCCAGTGAGTGACTATCAATGCTAGCTGGTGGTTAAAGTCATATCATCAGCCAGGGCTGACTCTCATTTGCATTGCAGCAGCTAGGGGGCACCACAGTGCATAGAGAGCACTGAGCCTGGAGTTAGAAAGGCCTCAGTTCAAATGCTGCCTGAGACACTTATTAGCTGTGTAACCTTGGGCAAGTCATTTAATCTCTTCCTGCCTCTGTTTCCTTATCTGTAAAATGGGGGTAATGATAGCATCTATCACCCAGGGTATGTTGTGAGAATAAAATGAGATATTTGTAAAGAGGTTAACAAACCTTAAAGCTATACAAATGTTAACAGTTACTATTATTACTATATTTTGTACTCAGTTTCAAATTCAGGGAGGAGCCCAAGGATGAAGCTAATGGAGCAAACATCCAGAGATGCCCTGAGGCATCCCAGGCTTCTCCTTGTCCCTAGTGTCAACCCTTTGGGGCCCTACCCTTTTCACCAGAGAAGCCCCTCCTGCACTCCAGGAGGGAGAAAATCCTGCATCTGTCCCCCACTATAGAGAAGGGTAGCCCTATTTGGAACTCCATAATATTCCAACAACAATCTTACCCTACTCCACTGCCCTACTGGACTCTCACAGAAGCCACAGTAAAGTGTCTAATGGAGGGCCAGGGTACCCTGGCATGGCCTGGTAGAGGGAAGGAGCTTAACAGGCAGGTCCTGGGAGAAGCCCAGAGCAAGAACCCAGCTCCCCTAGGGCTCTAGGTTCAGTCAAGGCTTCGGTCCTTCCCTGTTCTAGAAGGGAAAGAGGTAACTGGAGTTAGACTGGGGTAACAGGTATGACCAAAAGTGAGCAGTAGGAAATATTGAGCTTTACCTAGTCCCCTGGGGGGCAAAACCCTTTCTCCATCTGAGTGGGGGAGGGGCTCCCTGGGGGAGACAGGAAACCACAGTCACTGGCAGGGGAGGAGAAAGTCAGAGACCTAGTGCCTGCCTTGTAAAGCCCATATGATCCCTGCAGAGAGTAGAGCTTCAGCCCCCAAAAGAGAAAGGCTCAGTTCCCTAGAGAAGGTGAGGGAAATAAAGCAGAGACCACCTCCGGCTCCCAGGCAAAGGCAGCCCTAAGCCTGTAGACCAACAAGGACACTTCCAAGGTCTGCTCTAGGGCTCAGGACAGGGAGGCAGAGACTCCTGGGAGCGACGGGGTAATTACACAGGGTGACTGACACAGACCTATGGATCGTCTCTCAGAAGCTCCCCACAGGAGAGACAGCCCCTGTAAAGGGCTCCTGATCACAGGTGAGAGCCCAGCTCTATGGGGTGGGGTGGCAAGAAGAGAGAGATGGAGGCTGGGAGATTCTGCCCAGACAAGAGAATCAGCCCAAGCCCCAGACTAGTCCTTGGGGGCTTGTCCCAGAAACAATCTCTCCAGATGCAGCCATGGGAGCCTTTCTTGAGCCAGGGGCAGGGGTAGAACTAGTAGCTCAGGGCCATACCCTGAGATGAGACTCAGGGCATCTTTACAGAGGCAAAGGGATGAACATAGAGTCAAAGGAGACACGGATTCACATCCCAGCTCTGATGTTTATCAGCTGTATGACCATGGACAAGTCACTGACTTTCTCTGAACCCATTTCTTCACTGGCAAAATGGGGAGAATTATACCCTCCCAACCTCTCTCTCAGGCCTGTTTGGGAGTAAAACTGTCAGCTTTAATGTATGCACAGGGTATAGAAGAAAAGGGAGCCAGAAGGTCTGGGTTCAAATGCCGCTCTGCTATTTGCTATGGGACATTGGGCAGATTAGTTAAAGTCTCTGGGCCTCAGTTTCCTAATCTGCAAAATGAGGATATTGGACCCCATGGTATCTCTAAGGGTCCATCCAGCCCTGAATCCTGTAATTTAAGACCCCATTTCAGCCTCAGCCCCACCATTTTACTCACCAGTTCTCTCTGCAGTGTTTGGCCTAACATTCTGTCAGTCACTTTCTGACTCAAATCCCAATGCAGCCAGTGCAGAGGTCTTTATTATTTAGGTAGGATTTGGGGATGCTTTTTGTTAAAGACCAAATGCATGGCTTTTCTGCAGAGATGGATACAGACAGACACTCACACACTCACCCTCGGTACACAGAACCTCTCAGTAACCTAAGTCACTCAGGAGGGTAGGGGACCCTGCTGATCTCTGCCTCCTTCTTCCTCTCTCAGCCTCCATCTTCAGCTGCTGGATCCAGGCAACATCTGCTCAAGGTGACACCATCTGTGTTGTGGCAAGCCCTCCCTATGGGAAGGTGGGCAGCGAAGTCACCTTGTCCATCCAGGGATTCTCAAAGATGGCTTGCAGATATACCTGGTACAGAAAGTCAGTAGAATCCTCCAACCAGATCACCAGCTACCATATCCAGACCAGAGTACAAGAGCCAGAAAGCAGCCGGGAGGTGATATTCCCTAACGGCTCTCTGCTCATCCCCAACCTCACCCTCAGTGACAATGATGACTACATCCTACAAGTGGTTCACTCAGAATGTGAAGTAACAACAGCTCGCACACATTTACAGGTGTATGGTGAGTACCCCCCTTCCAAGGCTGCCACAACTTGGAAATAGCCTCTCTGTCTGGGGCAAGAGGCCTTTCCTAAGCTCCTACTCCCAGGAGCGAGGAGAAGCCAGGACCTGCCCCAGGGAGAGGAGTCCTGAGAGTCCAGAGCCCCCAAGTGTAGGTCTGCCTGGGGAATGGCTCCCAGGGGCCAGATGGCACATGGCTTCCCACACCTCTCTCCCTTGGCCAAGTTTTGGGAAGTGTGAGTAGGAAAGTAGACCTAGGCCAGAGAGAAGTGATTCAGTAACTGCCCCTTCCACGTGCCATCCAAAGTGAAACGAGTTGGACACTGACAAGTGTGTCCTGTTTTAAGGAGATGGGAGCCACCCCAGGTCTGAAAACAGGCTTCCAGATCCTGCATTAGTCTCACTAGAAAACCTGGGACAGTCAGTCAGGGGATGCTTGAGTCCTCCGTTGGTAAAAAACAGTTCAACAGAATCCCTTGAAAATAATAATAATAATAGCTAACTTTATATAGTGACTACTACGTGCCAGGCACTGTGCTAAGCACTTTACAATGATTATTTCATTTGAACCCTGGGAGGCAGATGCTATTATGATCCCCATTTTACAGATGAGGAAGCTGAAGCAAGCAGGAAGGAAGTGACTTGCCCGGGGTCACACAGCTAATAAGCATCTGAGGCTGGATTTGAACTCAAGTCTTCTTGACTCCAGGCCAGTGCTCTATACACTGAGCCACCTAGCTCAAGGCTCTAATTTTACAGATGAGGAAACTGAGGCCCAGAGAGATAAGGGAATTGCCCCAGGGGACATGGGAAGTAAGTGGTGCAGCTGGCCAATTCTCCCTGTCAGGACAGGGAGCTGGACTGGCCTCTCCCACTGTGCTGAGGCAGGCTCGGGGTTCCTGAAGCTGTCCTAATGTGGGGTCAATGTCAATGACCATGGAAGACAGGAGCCTTTCTTGGGGGATTCACTCGCCAGCCTGGCATAGCTTTCTCCCCCAGGGCTCAGAGCAGAATGGCTGCCTAGGACAGGATATCAGCCAGATCCAGCCTCGTGCCTAGACTCCCAGTGCCTGGAGGGGGAGGAGCCAGATCTCAGGAACAGGGCATGGTGAACACTTGTGTGTGTTTGGGGTGAGGGGGTGAGGTTGGAATCAGAGTTATGGAAGAGGCTGACTCCATCTTCCAGGGAAACAGCCAGGAAGAGTCCAGGTTTCTCAAAGAGGGAACTGGCTGAGCCTCAGCTGGAGGAGGTGATGACCCTATAGCTTAGTAGATAATGTGATAGGGTAAAGCTCCAGGGAAACTTATTTGGGCTCCAAATAAGGACCACAGCAATGAGAGCCATCCATCAGGGAATGGACTCTCACCATAAGTGGTGAGCTCCCCATTACTGGAGGTATTCAAAGAAACCTAGCTGATGATTTGTCAGGGAAAATGGAGAAAGGGTTACTAGTGTTGTGATTTAAATTCGATTATTTCTGAGGCACAGAGCCATAGAAACTCAGAAGTGGAAGGTGCCACAGAGGCCACCTGACGGCTTTTCATACTGAAATTCTGGAATCTGCAGAGTAGGGAACAGCCATAATTGGCAGCTACAGGTGTCCCCGTCCTTGCTTCCTCATATTGAGGGGTAGCACTGGCCGCAGTTCTATGGCTGATGCCAGAGCAAGTCACAGCTGGGAGAGGGCCCTGCTGGGCTATCATTCACAAGCCCTTACTGGGCACCTCATGAGTACTAGGCACAGTGTGGAATATTGTGAGAGGGGGCAGGTTGGGGAGGTTGAGGAAAAGAAGCTCAGGCTCCCAGACTCCCTTGGGGGCCCAGGAAGAAAGAGGGCAACGAGGGAGCCCAAGGGAGGAGCTGAATCTGAGAAAGGAAACATACCATGACCCTTCCTCTCAATGGAGTTCTCACCAAACAGCCAATCACTAAGCATTTATTAAATGCCTACTGTGAGCCAGGCACTGTGCTAAGTGCTGGGAACAAAAAGAGGCAAAAGATGGTCCCTGCCCTCAAGGAGCTTACAATCCAATAGGCGAAATAAAATGCAAACAACTACATACAAACAAGCTGTAGAAGATAAATTGTAGATAATTAGCAGAGGAAAGACCAGAGGCAGCAGAATGGCTGGGACTCTTTGCCGAGAAAAAGAGGGATGAGCTCTCCCAGGTTCAAACCCTAACTTCATGCTGGATTGGGCTATGTAATACAGTGGGAAAAGTTATAGATCTGGGGTCAGGAAGCCGGTGCTCAAATCCCAGCTCTGACACTCAGCAAGCAAGTCACATCACCTCCTGAGCCTCAGTTTCCCCCTTTGTGGGGCTACAAATCCTGGCACCCCCTATTTCATAGGGTATTAGGAGAAAAAGTATAGGAAGTCCAAGGGCCCCCGATATGTGGGTGGTTACTGCTTCTCCTTTAGTGCTTTTAATTCAGTTTAAGTGGGGGAGGTTCTGGGAACCAAGAAAGACTTCTTAAAAGAGGCAGCTGCCAGGGTTTAACCTTGAAGGAAGTGTTGGGGGAAGGAGAGGAGTAGTCCATTCAAGACATGGGAGATGGATTAAGCAAGGGCATAGAGACAGAAGGTTGCATGATAACGAGGCAGTAGAATAATTGAGTACAGATGGAACACTGAAACATATCAAAGGATCCAACAGGTTGGTGGGAGCCAGATTGTGAAGGGTCTTGAATGCCAGGATCAGGAGTTTGACATTTACTCTGTAGACACTGGAAGCCATTGAAGGGTAGAGGAGTCACATGATCCCAATAGGAAGTTAGGAAGATTATTTAGGAGGTGGTGGGAAGGATGGATTGGAGAAAGTCAAAAGCCCAGGAGCAGGAAGACCAAGGGGGAAATTATTGCCATAGTCTAGGGAAGAAGAGATGAAGACCCATCATAGAAGCAGAGAAAAGGGAGCAGAATATGCACAAATACCTATGAGATTAGGGAAAACATCAAAGCCATTGATTGGATATGGGAGTGGAGGGACAGGGCATAGTTAAATTCAAAGAGGATTCTAGTTCTAACTTCAGGGATAGAAAAATAAGAGAGGGGGACAAAAAAGGGAGGACCAGTTTGGGGGAACCCAATGAGCTCGGTGTCAGGCATGTTGGGTCTAATGTTCTGTCCTATACTCAGGTGTCACTGGATATTTTCCAGACGCTGACAATGCAACCCTACCAAGGGGCACTGTGTAAGGTGCACAGGCCAAGTCTGCTTTACACAGGGAATCTTTCCCTGGGCTCCTCAATTCCCTACACCCACACCCAAAAAGTATCAGTTTAAGCTCCTTTTCTCTCCTTTCTCAGACAGCTAGGTGGAGAAGTAGATAGAGCACTGGTCTTGGAGGCAGGACATCTCGAGTTCAAATCTAGACTCAGATACTTACTAGCTGTATTACCCCAGAAAAGTCACTTAACCTGTCTGCCTCAGTTTCTTCACCTATAAGATGAGGATCACAACAGCACCTACCTCCCAGGGTTGTTGTGAAGATGAAATTATATAATATTTGTGAAAGTGCTTAGCACAGTGCCTGACACATAGTAGGTGCATAATAAATGCTTATTCATTTTTTCTGTCCCTTTCTGCAGCAGATCTGCATTCCACAGGAATTATCAAAGCTGGCATTTTGGTTGGAGCTGTGACTGAGGTGGCCATAATTGGGGCCTTCATCTACGTCCTGTGCATCAGAAAGATTGGACGGTAGGATGGGATTTCCTTGGTTTTCCCTCTCTCCAAGACCTTCTCCTCAAATTGGAGGAGAGAACTCAGGACTATTTTCCACTCCCTCTCCTCATTTATTTTTTTAAACTGGGTCTCCCTAACTCACCCAGGCTGGAAGTGCCACAGCCACACATGGGCTGACCACTTGGAGAGCTTCAACCAACTCCATTTCCTACCTGGGCCAGTCTGCTCTGCCTGGAGCAGCCTGAAAGGCACTCACTCCCCAAGGGCCTTCCTTCAGCACTGGATAGTGCTGAAAACAAATATAAGAAATTGACTCAGGGCACTGCCATTCCAGACTCCGGAGCTCAAGCAATCCACCAGCCTCAGCCTCCCTAGTAACAGAAATGCACTCCCAGCTCTATGCAGTAGCTTCTATGTCTTGGCCTCACTTCCTTCCCAAAACTCCTGTTTCTCTGCACTCTGGCCCACTTCTGGAGTCTCCCTCTCCTCTTCTCTAGGTTTTTCATTTCCCCTCTCCTCCCCCACACTTAATCATCTCTTAAAACCAGTCTCTCACTTCCTCAGTGGAGGAAAGGTAGGGAAGGAGACCTTGATATCGTCCCAGCTCTACCCTGCCTCCCCAAAACAAAGGAGCCAAGGTTCACTAAGGCAGAGATGCAGCAGGAAGGAGGGAAGGAAGGAAGGAAGGAAGGAAGGAAGGAAGGAAGGAAGGAAGGAAGGAAGGAGAGGAAGGGAGGGAGGGAGGAAGGAAGGAAGGAAGGGAGGAAGGAAGGAAGGAAGGGAGAGAGGGGAGGGAGGGAGGGGAGGAAGGAAGGAAGGAAGGAAGGAAGGAAGGAAGGAAGGAAGGAAGGAAGGAAGGAAAGGAAGAGAAGGAAGGGAAGGAAGGAAGGGAGGAAGAGGAAGGAAGGAAAGAAGGGAGGAAGGGAGGGAGGGAGGGAGGAGGAGGAAGGAAGGAAGGAAGGAAGGGAGGGAGGGAGGGAGGGAAGGAGGAAAGAAAGGAGGAATAAAAGAAAGGAGGGAGGGAAAGAAGAAATAATTTTAATATGGTTGAACGTAAAATCTTACAATTGGGTTCAAAAAGTTAATCTCACAAATGAAAAAGATGGCGTAGATATGGCTAGACATGGGTTCATCTGAAAAAATCTAGGAGTTTTCATGGACTGAAAGCTCAGTAGGAATCAATAGTTTGACATGGCAGCTGAAAAACCTGCAGTGATCTTGGGCTGTATGAAGAGAAGCACTAATGAAGCAAGTCATCAGTCCCACTGTCAAGATCTAGAAGAAAAGGGCTTTGAATGCCAGTCTTGGAGGCTTGTGTTTTGTCCTATAGGCCAGCACACCCTGGAGGGTTCTTGAGCAAGGGAGTGATGGGGACAGACTTGAGCCTTAGAAGAATTTTTATCAGCTGTGGAAAGCATGGAACTGGAGAGGAGACACCGGAGTAGGGAGAGCAGTCAGGAAGATCTTATAAAAGTCTAGACGGGGAGATGAGACCCCAAACTGGGGCAGGGACTGCACAAATGGAAAGCAGAGGCTGATCAAGAGAATTGGCAGAACAAGAATTGGATGGAGCTCGAGGGAGAGAGAAGATCTGACCTGCAGTTACCAGCCTGGATGATGGCATTTTCAGCAAAAAGAAGGAAGTTGAGGGGGAGAGGGTGTGCATGGAGGCAAAATTCTTGGGGGAAATAGTGAGTTCAGGAGGCCAAGAAGCCGCTGGGACCTTGATCTAGGAGAATATGGCCAGCAAATTGTGGTAGCACATATCAGAGTCTCAAGGCATGGCTGTTAACATCCCCTCCTCATGGCTATTGGACCCTCCCAAATATCCAGGGACCTCCCTTTCACTTACCCCCAAGCCAAGGGGCCCCAAGGAAGATAACTATTCATGGCTCTTCTGTCCCACTGTTTCAGGGCCTCTCAAGGTATCCTAAGAAATCCAATTCTAGGAAGGAGGATTCGTCAAGCCCAGAAAGAAGGTGAGTATGGCCCCTGATAGGCAGTGTGATGCTGCAGAAAAAATAGGGAAATGGCAACTGGTCATTGATTGACTGTATGACTTTGCTCCCTACCCTTCTTTAGGCCTCAATTAGGTCAAATGTAAAATTAAGCAGTTGGATTAGACAGTCTCTGAGGGCCCTTTCTACCCTGATATTTTATACTGTATGACGTACCAGCAGGACCTACATTCTCATCCTCACGTCACTGAAGTTTCTTGGAGCTGCCCCTTCACAAAAGTGGAAACTCAGTGTTTCCATTTAGTAACTGTGTGACCTTTGGGAAAACACTTCAGCTCTCTGGGGCTCAGTTTGCTTATGTGTAAAATGAGTGCTTACATGGGCTAGTGCTAGCAGCCTTTTCCTTCGAGCTTAGGTCTCACACTTAGGTCTCACACTTCCTGCCACCATCTTGAGTCAATAGAATCTCTTTACACAGGGCAGCTAGCTGGTGCAGTGGATAGAGCACCAGCCCTGGAGTCAAGAAGACCTGAGTTCAAATCTGGCCTCAGAGGCATAATTCTTCCTAGCTGTGTGACTCTGGGCAAGTCACTTAACCCCAATTGCCTCATCACAAACAAACAAAAAAGAGAAGCCTGCCTTGGACCTTATCTGTTGTTTTCTCTTTCCTTAGTTAGAATCCTTGCAGTACAGCCCAGGGCTTCATTACTTTGCTCCAACTTCTATCTCTCTCTGAACAGTAGGTGTCCTCTAAGGAATGTTTCTAAGTCAAAGTTTCTGGGGATCGTCTTCCCTTTTCTTGGTTTATATCTCTTCATATAGGCCTTCATTCTGCAGGTGCTCCTACCACTAGCCATTGAAGATTAAACACGGCACAGATCCAGCAAGAGCTACAATTTTGCTTCCCCCGATACCTCTTCCTGGAGGAGTTTCAGACCCTACTTCACTCAAACCATAGGAGTCTAGCTGCCTATGTGTCACAGATGGTCTTCATCCCTTCCCTGGATATCACCATTGCCAGGCAAACTTGGGACCTATAAGATAGAGTATCTTCACTTCCCTGGCTGATAGTGCATATGGAACTCATTGTTGGCTAATGCTACTGCCCTCATCTCTGGCGCTCAACATTCATCTGAGTTCTAAGTGCAAACTTGTCCTTTTCTTTCTTTTCCTTCCATTTTTTTTCTTTTTCCTGACAAAAGTTGTTCCTCTCTAATATTTTAAACCCTTTTTTCTCATTGAGCCCCACTTCTTTTTTTTTTGTTGAAGACTTCATTATTGTCTTAACTTTCTTTTTGGCCACTATTTGTTGCTAGGGTTTCTAGGCTCCTTTAGCTTCCTCTTTGTAGCAATTGATTTTCATTGTTTAAATTCCATTAGAAAATGGCAATATTCTTGAGGCAGCTAGGTGGCACAGTAGATAGAGCTCCCCCCTTGGAGTCAGGAGGACCTGAGTTCAAATCCAGCCTCAGACACTTGACACTTACTAAATGTGTGGCCCTGGCAAGTCACTTAACCCTGATTGCCTCACCAAAAACCAAAAAAAAAAAAAAAAGGAAACATTCCATATTGATGTCGATGTTATTTCTTTTATCCATTTCCCATGTTTCAGCATCAATAGCTGCATTAAGAAGGTCAGGTTGGAGTTACCTCCATTGCATGCTATGTCTTCCAATTTTTATTTTTTATTTTAATTTGCTTTTGCTGTTTATCTCTAACATATTTGTGATCTGGCTGTACACTGACTGCACTAGGAACCAATCATTTCCTTTCCGTTAGAATATAATCAATTTCCAATTTTGTGATGTTGTTTGGTGCTCATCATATCTAAATATCTCCCAATTCTCTTCCTGAAAAGTAGAAACAGCCTCTTTATTTCTTATTCCTAAACCATGTTTTCCTCCCTCATCCTGCTCTTAACATTGAAGTCACTGAGTCGGAAAGTGGATATTGATTTAATTTGGTAGGTTTTATTGAGTTCTTGGTAGAATTTCTTAATCTTCTCATCCTCTGAAACTAATGAAGGTACAGAAATGCTCATTATCTCCCCAATAATTTCTTTGGATGTGCTTATTTAGCAAGGGTGGTCATCAGAAAACAGGTACAGATTTTTACTGGAATTGTATTGGAAAGCTCTTCTCATAGGCACAGCCTTGTAGGACTCAGGGTTCCCTCCATGCCATGATGAGGCACCCATCAGAATAGAACTTTACGATCAAAGTGACCCAGTCCTTGCCCTTAAGGAGTTTATGTTTTTCTGGAGTTTCTCTAGAAAGAGGACTCAGAGCTGAGAGGAGGAGCTAAGGAAGGGCCCATCGTGGAATCTCAGACCATAGACTCTAGAACTACAAACGCTACACCCAGAGATTCCTAGAACCATAGACATACAAACCTTGTTGGAGACCCACCTTGGAATCTTCTATTATAGATATGCTACAGATAGCTGCAGGGAATGTAAGGAAAGAAAGAAGAAAGGAAACAAGCATTTCTTTTTTTTTTCTTTTGGTAGTTTATTTTTCCCCAATTACATGTAAGCAATTTTTAACACTCATTTTTAAAACTTTGAGTTCCAAATTGTCTTCCTCTCTCCCCACCCTCCTCATTGAGAAGGCAAGCAATTTTATAGAGGTTATACATGAAACAAACATTTCTTGGTGCCAGCTGTATGCCTAACACTGTGCTAAGCATTTTACAGTTAACTCACTGGATCTTCACAACAACTCTGGGAGATAGGTGCCATTATTACCCCCGTTTTACAGTTGAGGAAACTGAGACAAATCAAGGTTAAGGGACTTGCTCAGGGTTACACAGCCAGTGAAGTTTCTGAGGCTAGAACTCAGATCTTTCTGACTCCAGGTCCAGTCCCCTATCCATTGTGCCACCTAGCTTCCCCTCACTTCCTTCTCTGCCTAGTCATTCTCTCATGGCATTCCAAGACACCAAGATCTTCTGTCTGGATTTCCTTCCCTCCAGGTGATGACTCCACCCTGTACATGAATAATGCTTTGCTTCAAGGCTGCCCTCGGCTTCTACAGGTAGGGACAGAGGGTGTCTTTCAGGCACTTTTTTCAGGGATTTTTGAGTGTCTATCATAGGGTGGGGCAGCTAAATGGCACAGCAGACAGAATGCCAGGCCTGGAGTCAGGAAGACCTAAGTTCAGATCCGACCTCAGGCACTTATTAGCTGTGTGACCTTGGGCAAGTCACTTAGCCCTTTCTGCCATCTTTAAAACAAGCTGGAAATCACAAGCCACTCCAGCATCTTTGCCAAGAAAACCCAAAAACAAGGGTCACAAAGAGTCTGGCATTGGTGAAAATGACTCAGCAACAACAATAACAACAGTCATGGGGTGGGAAGGGAGCCCTTCACCCAGAACTGGAGACACTTGAAGGCCCTGGGAGTTTGGGTGGGATAATCCCTGGAGAATGCCTATGAGCTTAAGGCATCCAGTAAAGGGTCTTCAGAAGGGGGACAGGCCCCAAGTCCAAGCCATCTGAACAGATCAATGGAAAGAACTTATGGCAACAACCCGGAGAAGACAACACTTGGTTTGGGAGTAGATATGGCAGCCATCTTTGATTAGCTGAAGGCAGGTCATATGGAAGCAGGATTCACCTTTGCTTGGCCCCAGAGGTAAGAATACACCCTGGCATATAACTGGTAGTAACAGGTGCAGTTGTAGAGAAGGAAATGTAGACTTGATGTGAAGAAAAAAAGTCCTGTTAGGTGTGTCTGAAAGTGGAACGGGATGCCTTGGTAGGGAAGAGGTTCCTGCCCCTCCTTGGAGGTAAGTGATTTCTAATCTGTGACAATCTGTGTTCTAAGTCCTTCCCACCTCGGACATTCTGTGCTCTGATGATCGTCTGTGTCCTGAGGTCTCTCTCAGCTCTAAGCTCAGTTATCATCTCAATGAAGATAATAGCCCCCGTCTCCAGGGCCATCACCAGTTGTCTGGGCTTTTTTTTGCCACTGGACTCCGATGGCTCTGGAGGAGACAGTGAAGCTGATGACTTTGCACAGCTCTACCTCACTCACATCTAATCCATGCAGAAGTCAAGACGTTGCCCTGTGATGTCATCGGTCCTCTTTGAGAATGAAGGACGTACAACAACAAACCCAGCTCTCTCTCATTAACCTACTCATGGACGTCTCCAACTGGACGCTGTGTAGCCATGTCATACTCTACAAAACCAAAACGGACCTCATTCTCTTTCCTTCCAGACTCTCCCCTCTTCCTAACTTCCCAGTTACTGTCGAGGGTCCCACCACCCTCCCAGTCCTAGGGCTCCCATCCCTGGGGTCACTGTCCTCTCCTCATTCTCACTCACCCAACATAGTCAGTTGCTAAGTTTTGCCATTTCTGCCCTCACAAAATCTCTCCCATGTAACTTCTTCCCACCCAGGGAGCTACCACAGTCACTCAGAGCCTCATCCCCTCTGGCCTGCTCAATTATAAAGGCCTTCTAATTGGCCTCCCTGCCTTGTCACTTTGCTCTGAAATCAGTCTTCCATACAGCTACCAAAGTGATTTTCCCTGCCCATATAACTCTGCTCAAGCAGCTTCAGTGGCTCCCTATTACCTCAAGAAGTGGAGGTGGGGAGAGGAGTGAGAAAGCCTTCCTGCAAAAGTTGGTGCTAGGGCTGAGCTTAGAAGGGAGTCTTCTAAGATGCCAAATGGAAGAGGGAGAAAGGATCAGACAAAAACTCCTCTGTCTTCAAAGTCCTTCACGTAGACTCCACACAGCCTTTCCGATCCTATTACACACTCCTCCCTTTTATACCACTAACAGCTCTCCCAAACTGACTTTGTTACCCTTCACTGCTCATCTGCCTCCAGGGCTTTGTATTGGCAGTCCCTATGCCCAGAATACACTACTTCCCTTCCACACAGCCTCTTGTCTCCCTTCCAGGCTGGACTCAAATACCAACATGGCAGCTTTCTTGATACACTCCTCTCGGTGAATCTGTAATGGCTACAATGTAACTTTTTCGAGAGCAGGGACTATCATTGTTATTGTATCCATAGTGCCTAGAGCCGGTTGGTACATAGAAAGAGATTAATAAATGCTTGTGGCCTGGTTGGTGGATGGATTGATTAAGGCCCCTCCCAGCTTTGACATTCTATGATCTAAGGGCCCTCTCAGCTCTAACATTCCCTGTTCTAAGGTCTCTCCTAACTCTGACATTCTCTGTTCTAAGGGCCTTCCCAGCTCTGACATTCTCTGTTCTAAGGGCCCTCCCAGCCTTGACATTCCCTGTTCTAAGGTCTCTCCTAACTCTAACATTCTCTGTTCTAAGGGCCCTCCCAGCCCTGACATCCCTTCTTCTGAGGGCCCTCCCAGCCCTGTCATTCCCTGTTCTGAGGGCCCTCCCAGCCCTGACATTCCCTGTTCTCAGGCCCCTCCCAGTTCTGATATTTTCTGTTCTAAGTATCCTTCCAGCTCTGAAGTTCCTTAAAGTCCTTTTTCCTATTCCACAGGTCCAGGGCTCCTCCTCTGCTGCCTCTGAGGATATCTATCAGGTACATCTATCAGGGGCCAGGCCTCTCCTGGGGACTGAAAGAGAGGAGAAAATGCTGGCTAATTATGGGGCCCAGGAACAGGACTAGCATGGAGGGAAGAAGATAAATGGGGAAATAGACCCTCTCAGTGCCTACCTCCCTCCCTGGAAGAAAAGAAACAAGTAATGATTTAGTACCTACTATGTGCCAGGCCCTGTGCTAAGCAGTGGGGATACAAATATGACCCCCCCAAAAAAATCATCCCTGTCCTCAAGGAGTTTACATTCAGCTGAAAATAAGGGAGGGAGGGAAGAATAGGAGGGAAGGAAGTAACCCAATAAGAGAGCATGGTTTTGAAGTCCAAAAGGTCAGAAATAGGGCCAGACGGGGAACGAAGGCAAGTGGGCCTGTGCCCTTTCACAAACTGTAGGCTCTAGGAAGGACTCATGAATGGGAGAAGGGGAACAGGTCTTGTGGAGGGATGATGAGCAGGCCTCATGGGTGGGAGTGTGATCAGGGCAGGGAGGCAGTAGATACTGAGCAAAGTTTCTGGGGGAGACAGCAGTAAAGGCAGAATTTTGAAGTCCAGAAGGTCCAAAACAGAGGAGGGGGGTTTTGGATGTCCCTGACATCTCCTCTCTCCTGACCCCAGGCTCTGGACATCATCGAAGCAGATGTTTATGACACGATCACGCCCTGTCAGAAACCTCCAGCCCCTGGAAAAGGGAAAATCACCAAGTCCTAGACTGTAGAGCTAGAAGAAATCTCAGAGGCCATTAGAATCCAAGCCCTTCGTTTCTATACACAAAGAACCCAAGGAGCATGGCTACAAAGTGTCTTGGGTTGGATTGGAATCCAGGTCTTCCACTCTGGATCCAGTGCCCTATCCTCTATACCTCTCTGCCTCTAACCTGTCCTTAGAGATGCTTTCACAGCTTAACCAGTTCCCATCACTAAAGGGGGGTGGGGGTTCACAGGCAGCTTTCAGGGGAGAAAGTTGGGAGACTGGAGGCGAGGAGGAACCCATCAGGAGAGAGAGAGAGAAAAAAGGGTAAGGGCTGGGAAGAGGAGAGGCATCCAGAAAGGAAAGAGGCCATAACTACAGGTGCCTGAGCCAGATGGAAGCCCAATCACGCTGCGGCTGGACTTCAGACAAGGGAACCTTGCTCCATGAACCCAATAATATCAACACCTCTATATTTTCCTCTAAAATCCCTATACCCTCTGACTCAAAAATGCCACTATTAGTGATCTACATTGTGGAGGTCACAGAAAGCAATTCCCACATACACCAAAATATTCATCTCAGCCCTTTTCTATGGTCACAGATAACTGGGAATGGGGGCAGCTAGATGGCTGGATAGAACACTGGCCCTGGAGCCAGGAGAAACTGAGTTCAAATATGGCCTCAGACATTTGACACTTACTAGCTCCGTGACCCTAGGCAAGTCATTTAACTCCATTGCCTAGCAAAACACACACACACACACACACACACCCCAATCAAATAACTGGGAACAAATTAGGCCCTCATCAGTTGGGAGAAGGATGAACAAATTGTGGAATGTGAATAGAATGAAAAATTACTGCCCCAAAGAAAATGATAAGTATGAAAAGGGCAGAGAAACATGAGAATTACCTGAACTGATACAGAGCATAGTAAGTAATATTTAGAAGGGGGAGGGGAATCATGCACAGTAACTGCACAGTAACCAAGCCTGTCCCTGGGGAGAGTATGAAAGAATGCGCTACCCTCCCTTCTTTGTAGAGGTGGGAGACTATGGGTGTTGAATGCTGCATGTGTTGTCAGACTCAATATGTTGGTTAGTTTTGCTGTATTGCTCATTTTTTTATTCTTTCTTGTTATTCTTTGTTACAAGCAGCGGCTTGTGTAGGGGATGAGGAGAGAGATTTAGAAATGTCAGTGATGTGAAAACAAAATATATAAATGATTTGTTCAACTGAACCTAACATCTTTCCTCTGCCACCTCCTCCCCATCCCCCCAAGCTGGTACCTCCTACAGGCTTCCCTGTTTCTGTTGAAGCCAACTCTATCCTACTAGGCACCCAGGTTTGTAACTTCAGAGCCATCCTTGACTCATCACATTAAGTGTTACTGAGGTCCAAAGGGAGTAGTTCCTGGGAAGGCTGCCCAGAGAAGGTGGTATCTGAATTGTACATCGAAGGATCTAGACAAATTCCAGGTAAATTGGTGTTAGTGGTAAAAATGGTCTGCCACCACCACCACCCCAAACAAGAGGGCAAATCTGGATATGGTTTCCAAAGCTCTGGATGATACCCCATCACTCAGGAGCCAGATCTGGGAGCTTTAAAAATGAAGAGGAAATGTCTAAGAGGCTGAAGAATGTTGGGGGAGGGGGAAGAAATGGCTAGCTGGCCCCTCTTTCTACTAAAGACAAGATGAGAAGAAACAGACCCAAGCTAAGCCCTAGTCTGACCACACACTCCATAAAGGGAAAATTGAGTGGAGTCGAAAGAATTCCATTTTAATGGAAAAGGTTCTGGCCCAAGAGCCCAAAGCCCTGCCTTCAACTCCAGCTCTGACATTTGCTTACTGGGAATCCTTCTTGGCATCCCCTGCCCTCCCTCCACCACCAAGCTGTTGGTGCCCTCCCTCCCCAAATTACCAAGTATATATCTTGTACTTATTCTGACCACAGTATACTTTAAAATGTATATGATTTCTCCCATGTGAGAATTCAGGCTGCTTAAAGGTAGCAGCTATTTCATTTTTTTCCCTTGGATTCTCCCTCCCCCCCCCTTGGGGGGAAATGAAATGGGCATAAGTGAAGCATTTAATAAAATGTTTATTTATTGATTGGTTGATTGGCTGTGGGGCCATGCTCTCCCTGGCTCTGGTGCTCTGACTTATAAGCATGGGGCTAAATGGTCCCTAAAATACCTTTCATATCTGCCCTTTGATGATTCATGGGGCTTGCCTTGCTCATGTGCTCTGCCATGGAGCCATGAAAATGGGCTGTTCTGAAAAAGCTGGAGAACTGGCCTCCAAGGGGACACTGTGGGAGAGTGATTCTGTGGATTCCTTACTGGCATAGAACCTAAGAATATGGGAGACACCTGAGAACAGGGAATGTCAGAGCTGGGAGGGGCCTTAGAACAGGGGATGTCAGAGCTGGGAGGGGCCTTAGAACATAAAATACTGAATATTGAAGAAACAGATACCGCTGTTGGCACAGTGGTTAGAGCAATGGGCCTGGGATCAACAAGAGCTGAGTTCAAATCACTTACTAGCTTTATGACACTGGGCAAGTCACGTAAACTTTTTGCCTCAATTTCTTCAACTGTAAAATGGGGATAATAATAGCACCTATCTTGCAGAGTTATTTAGAAGATCAAATTGAGGTAATATTTGAAAAGCATTTAGCACAGTGCCTGACACATTGTAGGTGGTATCATAAATGCTTATTCCCTCCTGGTCAAAGCCTTCCGAACACTGTGTGTCTGATCCAAAGATACCTGAGAAATCATCCTTCCTTACTCCTTCATTTTACTGCTGAAGCCACAAAGACCTAGACAAGGGACCAGAGTTCCAAGGAGTCAGGGCCCACACTGGCCCTGGAGTCCAGATCTCCTCACTCTCCACCTGTGTAAGGAGATTTCACCCCTTCCTCTGACCAGCAGCTGCAAGGGACCTTCCACCCCCCATTCATTGTCCCCAAGGAGGAACACTCCCTGTGCACAGAAGCGCCGAAGGGAAAAAGGCAGCATCCTGGCAAAGTGAAGCCAGAGGGGCCAGGGCAATGTCTCTGCTTCAGTCCCTCACAGTGACCACATTCCAGTCCAGAACAGTCACTTTCAAGGGGCAGAAAGGACCTGCTGTTCTCCAAGAGTGAAGTGGATGACCAAGTCATGGCTCCTTCATTTTTCTATCTTTCCTGTCTTTGAATCTGCAGCAGATGGATGTGATATCAGAGTGGGAAGGGACCCTAGAATATTTCAAATGGAGAATACAGAATGTCAGAGCAGAGGGAAACATACTGGAACATAGAACACAAGATTTCGGACCTGGAAGGGGCCTTAGCATGTAGAACACAGAATGTGACAACTGGAAGAGACTAACAAAAACTAACTCACAGTCAGTCAACAAACCTCTATTAAGCACCTACTATGTGCCAGGCACTGTACTAAGTGCTGGGGACCTCAAAGGTCATTTCGTCAAGCCCTGCATCTTACAGATGAAGAAATAATGAGAAAAAGGTACTTGGCCTCAACATCGAACAATGGGTCAGTGACAGAGGTCACCCTCGCACCCAGGTCTCTGGCTTCACATTCCAGTTTGCAGTGAACAAGTATTTAAGTGCTTACTGTGTGCCATGCACTGTGCTCAGCATTTACAAGGCACTTCCACTTTACCCTGTCTTCTTTATACAGTCTCTTACATCATACTATAAACTCTTTGAGGGCAGGAGCTTATTTCGCCTTTCTTGGTAACCCAAGAGCTTAGCACAGTGCCTGGCACATAGTAGGTGCAGCTAGGTGGTGCAGTGGAGAGAGCACCAGCCCTGAAGTCAGGAGGACATGAGTTCAAATCTGGCCTCAGACCAAACACTTGACATTTACTAGCTGTGTGACCCTGGGCAAGTCACTTAAC